GTTCCGTCTCACCTTATTCCATTCAGCTCTACGTAAGCGATGGCGGATGAGAAGACCGCTCAGTAACGACTCGATAGAGTAAAGATTGGAACGAGGTGGGTACGAGAACGAGTAAATCAGCGAAGACGAGATAAAACGCGGACGAGCGAGGGAAACGTACCACCGGTGGATGGGAAAGGTAAGGCGATGATCGAATCCAAATGAACCCATTAACAAGCTCTTTGGTTCAACCCGAACCCCGAACCAATCCGCAGTGAGTCCGCCGGTCTTGGGGTTGGAAAAGAGAAGAAGAGTGAGAGAGGAGAGAGAAAGATACGATTCAACGGTTGGAGGGAGAGAAAGAGAGAGAGAGAGAGAAAGAGGGACACGAGAGGGAAACGTAGCACGCGCGGAGAGCCCCGTGCAAACATTGTCTCGAGCTTTCTCCATTATGCAGATTGAATCTGACTGGTTACGGTCGGGGTTTTCAACGGCGCTGCTCTCGTTTCGAGCACCCGAGTTTTCACCACGATACGCCTCTGCCTCCTGCCCTATGTCCACCCTCTCGAACTCCCCCTCGTTTCTCCTCTCCTTTCTCCGCGTATTCGCCCCGTCCGTGTTCGAACCGGGGAGACCAAAGGGCGCCGCGCTACCGCGAAAGCTCTATCCGGCAGCCAGCGGCCCAACTTCCCGTGCGGCTGAGCTTTTTGCTCGGCCGTACGGAATTATTGAAAAGTTTCGATGGCTTTTCGGATTCGTGGATATACATAGCCAGATTAATGCACGTCGCAGGAGGGGGAGGGGGAGGGAGAAGAAGAGCGAAACAGGAAAACTCATCGAGTTGTAGGCAGAATTTCGCGAAACCGCGTTAGTTGTTTAGGGCGCGTGTCCGCGGTGAGAGGAGTTAGCGACCGCGCGAGGGGGACGTGCTTCTCGTGCCAGGGCGAGCAGCCCGTAGATAAATATGTAGTTGCGGGCTTTAGAGCGAATTACGGCGTGTAATTCGTTCTAAAGCCATTTTCGGGAGGAATTGCCCGCATATGCCGTACGCGTCCTCTCGCCGCCCGCGCCCTCGCGAGCCGCGCCGATGGCCGTTTTTCATTACATTGTACCGTCGCGTGACGAATGATTTTTCGGAGCGATAAATCGTCAGCAATAAATCTGCGCCGACGCGTTTCAGATTTATTTTCTGTAAGTAGTTGACGTGTAGAACGATTGATCGTCCGGAGGTAAGAATTGTTGGAAAACGTAAGCGCGCCATGGATTGTCGATTGATCGATGCCCCGCGTGGCCGAGATAAGAACAAGAAATATCGGAAATAGCCGCACAGGACCCCCGGCAGCATCGTTCATTAATCGCCTCTTTGTAATCGTGCTCCAAGACATGGTCTACGTGTTCCTTCTTTGAATTGTATTACTCGCAACGCAGTCGTAAAATAGAATACTGATAGATATATCGACCAGTGAAGATAAAAACGCCGAGTCGATGGATACGTCTTTTTCCATAGCTGTACGAGACGAGTTTCACAGAAACGTAAAAATAATTCGGAATTAAATTAAATCGATAAATCAAGAGAGCTGCTGATGGACTAAATAAATCTCTGTCCGCAATTGTACACTTTTTTCGCGGGCCATAAAAATAATTCGTAAAAAGAACCGCCGCCGAAGAACTCACAAGGGTCTAATCACGGACAATGGCGGTCGCTGGAGATAATTCCAGTAGCTGGAATCGACGCAGATCGAATTGATGAGTTCGGGATCGGCGTGGCGCGGCGTGGCGGACGTTCCGCAATCAATTCCGCGTATTAACGGCCGCCGATCAATATTCATGAAGCGAGCGCAACGATGTACGCCCCGTCAAAGACAGAGTTCAATTTCGTGGGAGGCGTGATATATACGCGGCTGCGGGTGCGTAAGTGCGCCCGCGTTACACACGTATCGAAGTAGGAGATAGGAAATTGAGGGTCCACGCGATGACGACCCGACCGCCCCGCGCGTCCGTCCCATTAAGGCTCGATGAAGATGACGATGATGACGTATGTATCCGTATATGTATCCGAAGAGATATATTATCGACGCCGGGGTCACTAAGGGTGACGGTGGCGGGATGCAGACGCGCCGAAGATGTATGCGCATGAAGCGGTATTAGTATGCTAATTATAAACGTATCGCGAAACGGAGATCGGTATAGGTAAATGCTTGGGGAGGGCAGCGATCTCGCCGGATCCGCGTATATCGCGAAGGGACGAGTCGCGAGGTCCACTTTACACGACGTGTGCGTATAACTCGCGGAAACTTTAAGTAATATAACTTTTACGCGCGAGCGCCTTAGGGAAAAAAATTACACGGACTTTAAGGAATTCCCGTGCTTAGTGAGTTAGGGAAGTAGGGCCTCCGTAGCTCGCGGCGACGGTAAGTTCGTGACCAAGAACGGCTTACCTTGCGGGATGCGCGGAACTGAGAGAGTACTTGCGATGTGACATTACTTCGGGAATAATAATAATAAATCGATACAATGGCCTAGTTTACACCGATCTCTTGATACGCGTATCAAATAGTATATTTGAACTGATCAGCCAATAATCAGACTTATTTACTAGTTATTTACTATTTAATACGCGTATCAAGTGATCGGTGTAAACTAGGCCAATGATGATAAGTCTGCGATAGCGAGATGCTATTGTGTCGTCAATGTATTATATTTCTTTCGATTGCTTCAATCGGTATTGTAAATAGATAGAAAAATTTTTTATCGTCTTGGAAATGCTATGTAGAAGCATTGAGCAATGGAGGGCTTTTTAAGAGGAAAATAAAATATAATTTTAATAAAAATGCTATAATCTACCAAAGTAAAATAGAAAGATATTACAATTTTCAAATGGCTCCGTGGATTAAAATTCAGAGTGAAGAATACGGCAAGGAAAGCCGTAACAGGATGTTCGTGTTAAATTTTTATTTTTAATAGACAATTATTCCAACCATAGTAGACTGCGCGCCGACAAATCGTCAGACTTGAAACACAATTTTGGTTGGAGTAGTAAAATCCCCTCCCCCTCCCCCTAATTAAATCGTTTCGATTTAATTTGTGATGCTAAGCATCTAAAAACTGTCAAGATATTATTGCGAAAAGTATTAATAATCATAGATACGAGATAAAGATAGGAATCTCAAGATCAGAAAAAATTAAAAATAATGCGAAAAACGTTTTCCATAATTCCTCTAAAATTTGTTTCATATATTCTTTATTAAACACACGGAAAAAAAATAAAGTTGCTTCAATTAAACGTCGACGTCACAGGCTGCCACAAGCATAAATAGTTAATTCAATTGGATATTATTGGATCAAATATTTAAATCATTAAAACAATTATCTGATGTTTTTTGTTCATTAATATTGATGTGTTGCATCAATAAATTTTATCTCAATAACACTGATGCTGTTGATACAACATCATTTTTTTTCCGTGTAGAGATATATCTTCAACGCACGCGGATTAAATATTAAATTTATATAAAGAATGAAAAATGTAAAAATTTTATCAGTGAACTATAGCGAGTTTTCGTGATTCGGAATCGAAGCTTATCAGACACTAATTTGATTCTTCGCATCAAGAAACTAGGCAGAGCGCCTTCCTTAGCGCCGGTGTATTACAGGATGTTGAATCGCACACGCCGGAGATTCCATTACGATATAATCCAACGGGCGCCTCAATTAGCCTTGCTCAGTGATTAGCGTGCATCTCCGGCCCCTCCCGCCCTTCTGCTTCTCCTATTCACCATTGTAGTCTCCCTACGTCTCCCCCTTAGTATCCTGCGCGTCAATTTGCCCGTGATTTGAGCTTCTAATCCAGGTTCTCCCGTCACGAGTCCTTCATGGCCGGGTTCAACGAGGATTCTGGCTAAACTACGAGTCCTAGATGAGCTCGAGCGAGATCCTACTGCCACGCGCGACCAATAAGATCTAGCTTTATTATATTCGACCGCGATCAGTTGCGACAAAATGCCCGATTTTATGCAATAACGCGATATCGAGTTATGCGATTTTTCTTATCTTTATTTCAACCAATCCAGTTTTGAATCTCGAACACAATGTAGAAAATTTATGATATTTAGGACAGTTATATTAGTGTCCGACTTGATTTGATGACATCTTTTCTATCGCATATTGCAGGACGCGGAGAACAAAAAGAGCGAGAAGAAAGAAGTCGTTGGGCCGCCTCTGCAGACGGCTTCCGTCAGCGTGAGAGCGCTCATCGAGGAGAAGATCATACAGAAAAGAACGACAGGTAAGTCAGTCAACCTAGTTTAAGGCGAAAACAATCGAGAACAATTTTGTCAATTATATTTACATTTTTCGTAGTATTACGATGATACGATACATTGATCGTAATTCCGATAGCAAAGTCACTACGATAATTCTACGGATAGTAAAGACGCTACTCCCGTTTCGTGTCAGCGACGCATTGTTCGACACAATATGGCCAAGAGAGGTGCAGTGGCCGCGATAACGTCATTGTTCCGTTTAGAATCCCGAAGGTATACACGTGTCATAACCGCGGGGGAAAAAAAAGAATTAATACGGTGTTACGGCGAGCAATGCTGAGAACACAGAATCCACGAATGCGATTCCGGCGTGATTTACGGGCGCGTATCCCGATTCGACTGCGATATCTCCCATTGCGTCGTCCTCCCGTTCGTCTGTTTCTCCCTCGCGCGCGTGCATGCACATTTGCCAGAACCGGGGAGGGCCGCCCCGTGATATTTCGCGAGAGGGGGAGAGAGGGTGCCTCCTCTCTATGGGGGTATGGTGTATGGACTGCCGAAGAACCGTGATTTACGAAGCGAACACGCCAGAATATTTCTCGCATTGTCCACGTTGGCGCGATAAATCAAGCCGGCGGCGGCAGTAGTAGAACGGACCGGCGCGGCGGGCACCAGGCCCATGCTTTTGTAACAAAGTGCGCGTCGTTAGCGATTTATGCGCGATTTCGCCTCGGCATCTGCCAAGAACGGCAAGGGACGATCCGCTATCCGCTACCCGACGCCTTCTGCGTAGCTCTTTTCGGCGACCGTAAACCCGAAATAAGCGCAAAGTAATCGTCGGGGTACGATCATGCCCTCGCAGACGTATGCAATGCGGGTGATCGCTGGCTGTTGACTCCTGATAGTCTAAAATAATTTCGAATAATTCAACACCGAAAGTCCATATTTTAATGTTATTGATATAGAGTGCTTTCGCTTCTTGGAGATTTAAGAAAAAATATAGTTTGCTTCAAGATTTGTTTTAGGAGTTTGTTGAGTTTTTTTATCCGAGATATTCCGTATTTTTATATTATTTGTAATTATGAAAAAATATTAACGGCAGTTACCCCCAGTGTTTAACTAGAAATGATTTTTTAATTTCGCATCAAAAATTCACGCGAAACGCACTTGTGACAATGGATACGCTATAATATTCGAGTAACACATACTTTCCATAATTTATTCGGAAGAGGTAAAATTAATGCAGCACGACATTTCCTGTGTAAATCTGGATTTGATTTTTAACGAGATTATTCTTTCTCGACCAGCGTAGAATTTGTAATGTCTAACCGGGAATTGTTTGTTCATACATGACGAAGTATGCGATATACGCGGAAAACTGCGCCGTTTCCAGTAGTGATATAGATCGATTGTTGGATGCGACATTGTAGTACGGCCGCGCGGTAAACGGGCAAGCTCCTTTTCGAGTTCTACCACATGATGGACTCGGAAATTCTATGAATATTCGATCACGCGCGGTTATTAATCAGCGTACAATAGGAACCGCTGTCTACACACAACGTCGTTTCCATCGGCACGCCGGGAATTGTTGACAGTCATTTAGCCAGGCCGTTGGTCGCCGGCCATTATTTTTTGAAAGCCTCGAAAGTGGCCGCACAACAAGATCGATCGATAAATAATTTGCTGGCGCGAGCATGCTAGTCGCGATGCGCCCGCTGACGATGCATCGGGAATGCGCGTTGCACCCCGTTATTTGGTTGTCCGGTGGTGCAACGGCGTTGGCGCACATTTTTGACAAAGGGCTGGCGAGAGGGCAAGAGAGAATGGAACATCGATAGGAACGCGCGCTCGGTCGTGCTGGTCGCCCAGCAAAATATCACCTATCGAACGTTTCCCGTGCGCCAAAGAACGCGTAGGGGTGTCTGATAACAATCATGCGATAAATCAAACGAATAATTAGACCTGTGACATTCCGCGACGATTGTTTTTCGATAGTTCAATTTAGTTCTTCGCAGATATATGTTCCACAACAGCAACAAGAGTGTATTCAACAATGAGAGCATGTAATTACATAAACTCGATCATAATCCATTCCTCGGCAATTATGTTTGTTGTATGTTCTTATTACACATTTTAAAATATGGAATAAATGACAAAATATATTAATTTTAAAGTTTTACTATCAAGGTAGTTAAAAATTTTAAAAATATAAAGTCATTAGATTTAATTAAATGTGCGTGATTTCTAATATGCGTATGCCCAAAAATTGTCACGCGATGAATTATCAACACAAATGAATCTTTGCTTTGTCCTATTGGCTTTTTCGCGGCGGCGAATGCTGCTGCTGCATCGACCACAACAATTTCCATTCGAAGTGCGGACAGGACAGGCCGGAGACAGGCCCGCGCGACTGCCTCGTTGGAAGCAATTTGCCTCGCCGCGATCGATGATTGGCAATTTGTAAAAATATCACACGGTCTCGCGTCAGTGTGTGCCGATACGCTGTCACACGTACGTCACAGAATTTGCGGTTTATGCAAATATATAAGTCTCGCATGCCGTTCACGTGACGTTCGACAAAACCGGACGAGCACCATCACGTTTTTTTTTTTATAAACTGAGGAGTAGATATTCTTTGTTTCCATAAATGAGAAAATCTATCTTGTGAAGTTTCGAATTTTATAAGATTCGCGCTGCTGCTTGAGACGAAGCTAGAAATAATCTTTCATAAGTTTATGAAAGATTACAAGTTTATACAGACGTATTTATTGCAGCATAGGTCGCGTAAAAAATTCATAGTGCTCTCACAAGAAATCACCTGAGTCTGCTGATTATACGCTACGTGTGATAAAACTATAGGATATGGACCGCGATGCACAGTGTAATGGCTAAAAAAAAAGTGAAACGTAAAGAGCCGGCTCGAAGCCAGAACGAAGGCCAGATATTCATGAAATCGTCGTGGAAAAGTTTCGTCACGATACAGCTGTATCCTCGGCGAATCCCATTTCCTCTTTTCGCCCCCCGCGGCGACCAGGATACGCACGCATTTATTCCCGTCAAGTTGTATGGCTACCATGAACGATTGTGCGCGCTATAGAATATATTTTTCAGTATGCTGCGATTTCAGCGGCGGCGGAATATTTATTGCGGAGCGCCAAGTGCGAAGTGAAGAATTGCACGTCTTTTTGCCTTGGTTTAAATAAGTGGCAAAATATAGTCCATTAACCTTTTGTAATTTTAACTAAATTAAATAACGTGTGCGTGTATGTGTGTGTGTGAAAATTAACCCTTAGCTGGCACTGTGGGGTATTAAACGCCCCAGACTAGTTCAGCTCAAATTTAAGCCCCTTTATATTACTAAGCTCTAATTTAAGTTCCCTATAGTACGTCCCAGTGTGCCAGCTATGTGATTCTGATGAAGTGTGCCAGCTAAGGGTTAAATACATTTGCTTTCTTCTCCATTCAAAAATTATTGGAAACTATTGAATTTTCTTTCATATAGCTTGAAATCGGGAAATAAATCCATAGAAAGCTATGAATCTCTCATAACTTTGGTTAATTTAAAAAATGTCATATTCGTTTTTTCATAGTCGGACGGAAAAGGGGAACACGAACTTTTAACATTTCGCCGGATATTTCTGATCAATGATTATGATCGAAAAACTCACTAATATTTTTTTTCACATGCTCGGCGCGGCATGTCGGCTGAATGTACTTCGCGTCTCCTCGGTTATAATACTCTGTCATCCGTGCGCTTTCGTAAAAATTGAGTCTCAGTCCGTCGGACTACGGAATACATTATAACCAGAACGGCATGAGCGCTTTTTGAAATTTAAATGTAGTTATTCCAGCAAACTCGCCGTTCTCAGGATATGCTGTGACGTACCAGCACGCACGCTTTTTTGAAATTTAAATATTGTTATTTTTAGAGATACAACGTACCGAAAAATTTTTATTGCGCGGACGGAGGGCGCGCCGTACGACGTATGTTGTTGCTTCAGCCAATCCTCTCTACGCTTTATTTCTTTTTCCTCTCTTCAATTATATATACGTAAAGCCAAAGGGAAAACAAAAACCGTCGACATGCGGAACGGCTGAAACAGAGCACCAATTCGCGACCGCCATCGTCGGATGAAGGGTGAATCGAGGGGAAAAAAGGGCGACAAAAGTTTCTTTTATTTCGAACGCTATATAGACCCGTTTACGCATACGGGAAAGCTCTCTTTCCGCTTTTTCCGCTTTCCGTTTCATGGTAGTCTGCGCGCCGTCTTTCTGTTTATTCCACTCGGAAACACGAGGCGCCGCGCACGCATCATGCCGTTCTTAGCAAAAGGGAAAAATATTCTTACCGACCAATCCATCTTCCGCGCTCGCAAACACGAGGTCTTCAGAGACACCTCTCACGCCCGGTGTTTATTCACGACCTGAAACACGAGAGCAAACTATATAGAGTCACCGTGCATTTATCGCCAGCCGTTATAGAGAAAAGCGCTTCTGCTTTTCAATAATAAATGATAATAGACTAATAATAGATGAAAATATGATCGTGATGAAAGCACAGTTTTTTTCGTCAAGCACGAAGACAGAATAAAGATTTTTAGCGTAGCACTTAATTGTATAATGCCCAATTGTACAATCTGTTTAGTCTCAGCGTGTATTCAGTGTACGTTATTTGATATTTATCAGGTTTTTCAAGATAAGAGACTTTTGCAATCAAACGCCAGCAAGATTGGATCAATAGGAAATATGTATGTACATTTTAGCAGTGGACGCGAATGGCAATCAGCAACCTCGTACGAATGCTACCGTCTTCACCACGCAAGCCGACGCCGTTTCGCAAATCGCCGTCAAAACGAATTTCGCGGTGCCGGCTCCGCCGCCCTTGGCAGCGGGGGAAAAGGTGCGTCGTTTTTCCGATGGCGAACACTTCCGGCAGCCCAATATCACCGTGGGTGGCCACGCGACTGTGCAGAAGCAATTGCAGGAAGCGAAAACTCAGGCTCAAGCGCAAGCCCTCGCCGACATGATCCTGAAGGTATAAATGTCGCAAATTTTTCTTTCGCTCTTCATTATTCAGTTGTGATATGACATTCGAATTATATATCAAAAATTTCTCATCGATTAACGATGTAACACACAGTTACATTTATTACGAGAAACACGCATAATATGCATGCCACTAATAACTCGCAGGGTGCGAAGGTGGCTGTGAAGAGAACAACTTCCGATCCAGGACAAAGATTACACTTGACTTATCAGCAGCCCGTGCAATCAGCGACGACCAACCAGCAACCGAATAATCAGCAGCCGCAGGCACAACCCGCGGTAACGGAAAGCTTCACGATGACAGGATACGCCGAGGATGGCGGTTACTTTAGCCCAAGCCTGCAGGACGAAGTGTTTCAACAGGTTACAACGGTTCCCGATAGCGTGCTCCTGCACGCTACCCATTTGGACTCGATTCAGGTAAATAATTCTGCTTATGACTTTCATAATGAAAGCCAAATGCAAATATAATTTTATACAAAAATATTTGTATTTCTGATGCGATAAACAAGTATCGCAAGTGAAAAATAAAAATTATATTCCTTTTTTTTTAATCGTTTATGAAAATTCATAAAACTTCTTTTTGTACCATTCGTGGTGCGAAGTTGAAGAGCGCAGTGAAAGAAACAACATTTCTATTTTTATTATGCTCGTTCGTGCCACAGTTTCAGACGGCCAGTTTGTTGCAAGAGCAATCTACCGAGCAGCTGCAGGATATCACGTTGGAGGACCGATACTCCTCGCAGCACACGGTCAATCCGGACCTTCAAGCGCTGGTGAACTCGCCGTTGCCCGACTCCCTGGCCGAATTCAGTACTTACGCCGCGCAATACACGGAAAGTCCTCATACGTTACCAACTCAGTCACCCCTGCCGTCGCCTTTAACGCGACACGACAGCCCGAGCTTCACGTACCCAACACCACCGGCCAGCCAGGAGGGCCTGCTCACCGGAAGCCTGCCGTTGCTGAGTCCCCAAGAGGACCCGGAGAACGTGAGACACGTGTCGTCGCCGCTCTCGGCGGCGTTCTACACCAGCACGATGTCGTCCGCTGCGGCCGTGGAGGAAGCGCTGAACGAGGTACTGCCGGGTGAATCCGAAGGTGATGCGGACCTCTACGGGTCCGGTTCGCCAAATCCGCACTCGCCACTGCCAAGCCCGTTGTCGGCGACGTCGGCGCCGTCACCGCTGCCGCCGTCCTCCGTCTCGTCGCCGGGACCGGTCACCTTTACAGGCACGAGCTTTCCCGTGTCGCCACATCACGCGCTTCAAAATCAGATGATGCCGAATTCGGAGGATCCCCTGCTTTCCTCGACCTCGAAGGACTTCGCCGCCTCCGGTCGTAGACGATTCGAGTTTCAATCGTACAAGCTGATCACGAGCCAGAATCTGGTGGACTTCGGTCTCGGAAACGGCAGCCTGGCTGGCATTGTCGTCGATAACAACGGCGAGTTCAAGCTGATACAAACAGCGGGTCTGCAGAAGGCGAACGTGTTCGTGCAGGCGGGCTCTCTCAGTCCCGCGCTGACATTCAAGAAGGAGATCCGTCTGGCGACGCCGAAAATCGAGCCTGTCACCGTGAATCTCGGCCTAAACGTTCAAACGACAAATCAGCAGCAGTGCAACACGGGACAGTTCAATCAACAGCAAGTTGTCAACCCGGCCAAGTTCTTCGTGCAAACTAACCACGCGACGAAGAACAACATCTTGAGACACAAAACGGCCGGAAATTTACCAATACCCATCGAACAGATCAAGCAGGAGCTATTAGACGAAGACGTGTTTCTCAGTCCTGGCAGTTTACCCACCAGCAGCCCCGTGCGACACTGTCGGAAGAGGCCACGCATGGACGGCGGCCAATACGTCAGCAGTTCGCACTCTTATCCGTCGCGATTGCGAAAGGCTTGTGACCGCCACTGGGATAGCAGCTACACCCCGCCACCGATCCTAGACCCGTCTCGTCCCGGTCCGGGGCTCTATGCGAGATTGCATCAGCACGAGAGAGATTCGGACTTCAGTTCGGACGATTCTCAAGGGAATGACGGTCCACCGCCGAGGATCAACATCGGCACGAGGTATCAGGCCACGATACCTCCGGTGGAATACGACGGAGACAGGGGAAACGACGGGCCCGAGGCTGACCATCTTCTATGGGATCCCGGCATAAACAACGTGCTCACGAATACCGAACGTAAGTTCTCTTTCGCGAATGTGTATGTCTTGAAAAAGTGTATGGCGAAATGTAACAAACAACGATTGCTTGCAGTGGAGATGTACCTACAGTTCGCGTGTTGCGCCGCGGTGCCGGGCGGTGGTAGGAACAAGGAATACGCGCTTCATCTGTTGCATATGTGCAAAGGGAATATTCGCGTAAGATATTTTTTGCAGTGTAGAATTCACACAAGTGCATTGAAATCGCCATTGTTTGATACAGCGATATTTACGCACAATCGACGTATGTTTCAGGAAGCAATGGTGAAATTGATGCGACCAACGCCTACACTACCAATGGAGCATCCTTTGCTCAGTTACGAGTGCCACGAGTCCGACAGATGGACGTCACATGAAATGGACGCGTTTTATCAGGGACTGCTCAAGTACAACAAGGACTTCTCCGCGATATCGCGGGACGTCGGTGCCAAGACCGCGAAACAGTGCGTGCAGTTCTACTACCTTTGGAAGAGACTTTGTCCTGACGAGTACAAGAGGCTGCGTATTTGCCATGGAAAAGCGAAGATCAAGAGCGAGATTAAAGATAGCAAAGATACCAAAGAGCTACGCGACGCCATTGCGTCTGTGACGGAAATGGACTTCAGTGAAGACAAATCAATCCTTCATCGTACATTGGTAAGCTTAAGTGTAACCAGTCGCTTTCTGTTTTAACAATGCCATACTAAAATAAACGTAAACGCGTAAATGTGAGTATAAAAACGTTCTTTACTTTTCTGTCGATTTAGCTACAAACAAACGAAAGAGAAAATTCGGCGACTCTGACCACCAGCGAAGGAGAGCTGAGGTTATTCGCATACGACTGCACAGATGTAAGTAATAATATTTCTTATTATATAAACATCTCATGTACCATCGTGTGCTTACAATTACACGAGAATCACATATCTAACTCCTGATAATGCTATTCAATGTTTTCATAAATTAACTTGAAAATATATTCAAATTTTCTCAATTAGGCAATACACGTTGCTCTCTAATATATTATAACAGCATATTATGAAACATATGTAAATATAACTGATTCAGAGAAGAAAATATACATTTACATAAGTTATTTCTATGTTTGCTGCTCACCGCATATCCTACTTCTTCACGTACGCCGAGTACGAAGAAATTTTTTTTTATATATATTATATCTCGATTATACTCCTTAAAAAAAAAAGGACAATTTTTACCTTTATGAAATATATTAATATACATTTTATTTAACAATTTCGTACTCGGTGTGTCTGAAATATCTTACACGCGTACATACGTGTGAAGATTTAAGTGTCGCATGAGATTGATTGCTGATCCGTCGTTTTCTCACGCTTCGTTTTAAGAGAATCGAGGATGTTGTGCGTTGTGTGACCGTTGCGTTACTTATCTGTCGTCGCCGTTGTCGTTTGTTTGTGTTGTTTATTTTGGCTTTGTGTTTTCTTTGTGTTGTCAGAGCTTTAGCGGAAGTGTAACAGTAACGATGGCCGGAAGCACCCAAACCGCCCAAATCGGCAATACCGGCCGCGCCACAGTCAACACCAACTCACAAACTCACACTAGTTCTGAGCAACAACTACCCGCGCCCACCCCACTTCACTACCCCTGCAAGATTTGCGGGAAGTAAGTCTCCAATCTCTAATCTAAATTATCCATTTCCAATAATTGACAACGGAGCTCGTGTGACGCGCGTGCTCTAACGGCAATGTAAGCGGCAAGTATTGGCACATCTCACATAGACATCCTTGCTTGTAGAGGGACAGAATGCCTTTCTGCATATGATTTAAAGCCAAATAGCGAACCGATGCCAGCTATGTAGTTCCATACAGAATTCCATAAAATTACCACATGTATATGACTTTCGTCAAATAACTCGTAACAAAAAAAATAAAAATTATTTAAAGTCAATGCAACAGCAAAATACATGTTTTGGAAAGAAAGAGATATCATGTACTTTGAATTTATGTACACGAAAATAGGAGTGCAATTAAACAGTTAAATTTCTGAATACTTTAAAAAATAGAATCAACCCTGTGTATAACTTATGTAATAAAACTGATTTTTTTTTATGATATAAAATACATAGTAACACATTTTTGAAAACTGCACAAACGCCATTCACGATATACATCACGATTTACCAAAAAAACTTAATATTTTTAATAAATAAATATGACAATGAAATTTATTCTACGACATATTAATTTTGTTTGATATTTATTTGATATTTACTGCTGAATTTAATTAAAATATATTATTTTTAATCTTTTTTTTGCCATTGGCGATTTTGATTGATTATTCAATTTTTTTTTAAATATGCCTGGCACACATTCTTATACTCTACTATTATTTTAATTTGCTGCCTATGTTCTTTCAATTGTATTTCTCTATGTTTCACTTTCCAATATAAATATATGTATAAATTGACTATATGGTATGTTATATATAATTAAATTCAAATGCATAACGCAAGCATGATTTGTTAGACTGCTGTTGCACATGTCCGATATTTCCGACTTCTTATCTTATGTGTTAAATATATGTGAACTTACTAAACTGTACACTATAAGCGTCTAAATTAAGATATAATCCAACGCTTGCGGAACGAAATATTTCTAAATGTACAAAATATAAAATTCAATCGTCTTTCTACATCTGCATTATTTCCTATTGACATCTCATAACTATCTTATAACCGAGAGAGCGTGTTCGCGCTTGCAGATCTCGCAACGCCAGTTTCCGTCCACACTTCACCCTATCTGACTCTCTGATAAGCCATAACTTGTTTGACGTTCCAATTATACTTTTCTTTCAGAGTTTTCAACAAAGTGAAAAGCAGAAGTGCACACATGAAATCCCACAGGCCAATACCCTTGCCCGATTCAACGGGTCAGGAATCTAAGCGAGCCACGCAACAACCGTCGAAAGCGCAACAACTGCAACAGCCAATGCCGTTGCAGCAAAGCCAACAACAGCAGCAACAGCCGGACAATGCTACGCCGCAAGCTCAAGACCATCAACAACAACTGCCCGCGAGTATCAGTGACAACAGCGCCAAAAATACAGCACATTTATGCCATAATCCGACGAGGCCCCCATAGGACAGGATCCAAGTAATTAAACTTAAGCTACCTTAACGAAGGCTGTAATGGTACTGTAGGAAAGTAATATGGTCGCGCGTGGTACCAGGCTCTAAACAATCGCGATCGTCAATCGTTACGAATAACGTAGCGAGAATATCTTTTTACGAAACCTTTGCTCACAATGGGGCAGGTTGCGTGAGTAAACTTCCAAAATAGATAGTTTCGAAAACGCGAATATCTCCCCTATATATGCGAAACTGTGCAAAAGAACGTAACTGGTATGTTTAATCAGTCAAATGGACTAATTGAATTTATGAGACTCATACGGAATACGTATCGTATCGGCCGTTCAGGAAAAAGAAAGGATAAGACAACATCTATCAGTAATGGAAACTATGCATGAGAAGTTGTAGAACTCGTAGGGTTTAATGGCGCAGCGGTAGAAGGTATTTAACTATGCAATCATAATTCGAGCTCTGTTCAACAAGGCGACAGGGTACCGATCGTAAACATCTTCCTCAGCGTGGAAGACAAGATGCCGGCATCAGTGTAAGAAAAGAAGAAAAAAAACGGTTACTGTCATTGAAAGATGAAGCGAACGTATAGACACTATAGACTTTGCGTTTTGTTGAAGACAAAAGGTAAACGCGATCATTTAACATGGCCTAGAAAAATCAAACACAACTCGATAATCGTGCGAAAAACATACTTTCGTCACAATGAGTGCTGAATCAACAAAAATGAAAGAGATTGACGTGCACTTACAATAAGCGCTCTAACGATTAAACGCGATTTCAGTGTACCTATTTATTATGCACGTGAAATGTTCCCAGATTGTGCCACAAGACATTACTGTTACCTGTTACCCTTCCGCAATTTTTTAAATAATGTTTTAGGTTTTTTCTCTTTCAATTACAACCGGGATCAGTTTACATGGAGCTGTATTATTTAGGATTTCGGTAAGAAATCTTTAATTCGCTTTAATTTATAAATTTTGTAATCTCTTTAAATTACGAGACATTATTAATGTCTTGTTTAAATAAAATCTACGCATTCAACATTTATAATATATTTAATTTGAATAAATATCGGTAAAATAATAAGATAAAGTGCAGTTGGTAAATGGATCCCGGATTGTAATATACAAATTGTTGCACGTTCGCTCTAATTACATTTAGTTAAAATATCATTAGCATAACTAAAATTTGATGAAAATAAGTGGGTCTTATATCAAACGTACGTAGATTTGTTGAAACTCCTTAATTTCTTTACCTCTGTTACTTAGTAGATTAATAGTATACAATTGAATAAAAATTTTAATATATACGATATATGAATATAAATATATATAAATATAAATATGTATAAACACAAATTGATGTAATTGAAAAGAACTCGTTTTAGCTTAGGCAAATAATTCTCTAGGAAGGACGTTGTTCAAGTTTCACTTCAGAGGCGTTCCCTGTGTCGCCGATACTGAATGTAAAATGATTATACATACGCCCATACATACATATTATACATACGCACACGCAAACACACAGATACAGAGAATAGAGTACATTTATTAAATAATATTCAACTTCAATGATCATTAAAAATAGATATATGTACATAAGATGTGTACATGTTTGTACATATATAACGTCAGTGTCTGTATGTACAATTAAAATGAACTCTACGCAAAGTAAGTAGGCTAGGTTTTAGGTTGTTTTAGGAGGGATCTATATACATATATATATAAAGAAAAATATATATACTTGGCTTCATTTTCTACCTTACTAGAGGCTACGTGGCGAGGCTCTTGTAAAAACAATGACTGTTCGCATCTTTCCACAATCTATGAATTTTTATTTCCCGTTCAAAAGTTGTTATAATGATGTTCCTATATGTAAGGTGCCTTAAGCAATCAAAAAAAAAATTTACTTTTCTCTGATATACCTCGATGGTACACTGAACTAAAATTCCCCCGATTAATGTTACCGCATTTCTTTCATTAAATTAAGAACAAAGAAATAGAAATCACAATTATGAGCGTTGACAAGCATATATCTATTTTCTTTCTTTGTGAAAGATTAATATGTTCTGATCAAGATTTCACAATTTACGTCTTCCTATCTTCGGGCACGCTTAGCTATTTCAATTCCCGAGAGTTTCTCTTTAGTTGTGTTCATGTATTTATATATATATATAGGAACATCCCTCACACAATCATTCAGTACATTTAGAACAAAAACAGCGTGCATTTTATTAAGACAAATATAATAAATGTACTAAATTTTATAAAGATTAAAATATATTTATATATCAAGTTTCATTTATATTGAAACTCTAAATTGTTATTCAAGAGAATTGCCAATCGTAGATGCTCTGATTCTATCTTGAGAACATTGTTATTGTTAACATTCTTCTTCTTATTAACTTTTACCATTGAATGAATCGCGCACACACACAATGTACACACTTTAACTTTTGAAACTTTTCTCAAGTAAACGCAAGAGTGACTGAGGACACTTAAAAAAATCTGCCAAGTCTTCATAAATAATAATGGCTCTAAATCTTCCATTTATTTCAAAGTAAAAACTATGATTGTAAATGAAAGTCTAATTGTCGGAAATGGGAAATATCTTCTCTTTAAGACATTAGATGTTCAGAACTCTGTACTTTAGTGTTTATTCTATCTTTATGTGTGTGTCTCATTAATCTTCTCCCCGATCTACAAAAATGTAATGCAAACTAAACATCAAGTATTCCGGCCACAACATCTGCATTATCTATTTATTTACAGACAAGAGATTAATATGAGGGGGTATCACCAAGGGCACTAACTTAATGTTCACATGATATTATTGGAGAATTTAGAATTTATTTGTCGTTTTTGTTAAATTTACCGGCCTATAATAATTATATACAATATATATTATAGAGAACAATTTGATTAAATATTTTCATAATAATAAACAGATTTCTATCCGTGCGTATTTTAATTCTTTTGATATAGTCGTGATATTATAAGGATTATATTTATAAATGTGATAATTTTTAAGCCCATGGAAATACTCCTTTGTAGCCAAACTAAATGATTCTGTAACGGCTGAGTAATGGCCCCCAATACAGGAACAAAAGTGTAGTATTAGAGATCTATATACTATACTATAAGATTCTAGAATTTCGAATCTTAAAGTTAGTTTATTTAAGGAATAAAATTGTTATGAATTCCGACCACACAGGCTCGGTGCGTAGGTCGAATACAACAAAATTAGCAGACATATCATTTAAGACAATACACTTGTTACAGAAACTAAGTTTCTACTAATATAATTATTATTATACGTAATCTAACTCTTAATCAGACTTAGAGCTTCAAGGAAAAAATCATAGGTAGTAATAAAACGAAGAGATAATATGTATTGGCTGACCAAATCCAGAAGATATTTAATAATTGCAGCAATAAGTTTTTTCTACAGTCCAAAATAATTTGTTACGTTTTTTTACTAAAATTCTGGAGGTGAATTCAAGTCTATCCACTATAAATTTTATAGAATAAGAACTGGAATTAAGAGTTTTTAATTCTTGAGAGATATATATATTTTTTTTATGTTAAGACAAACAATACTCTGGATTTAGAACAGTAACAATACAGAACAGTACTGGGGGCTACTTACTCAGAATGTGGGAAAGGCATGAAACGAAGCAATGAAACAGTAACGAAGATATGCATTGTACAAACGAGTCCCTCCACGTCACAGAAAAAAATGATATATCTATATGAAGAATATATATATAACAAAATGATAACTATGTGATGTATTTAAATGATATGTGGTATATGGTATTACATATTTGTACATAGGCGGACCCGTGCCATCAACTAGTGAGTTGTACCGATATTGTACTGCCATAAATCGAATAGCGATGACATCGAGTGAATGGATCTGAACTAATCATCGACAAATCTATATATCATTTTTGTTTTTTGTGCTCTCGTACGTGTATGTGATTAGACGATTAACTTGAAGTTACCAACTAACACTTAACTTAATGGCTGTGCAAATGGAGCATTTTGCACTCATCGACAATTATTAAACAAAGTTTTGTTGTTTCATATTTTACATTTTATTGTATGACAGTTTATTCATGTCGAAAATTACCGTTTCTGTTATTATTATATTACTCCTATTTAAGTTGATGTCACAACACGTCTAGATATGTGCTGATGTCACATGTTTAATTCGTTAAAATATTTATTTACGTTTATTTTCGAAATCCCATAACAAGCTGACAAAAGACATTAATCGTGATTAATTTCGTGCTTGTTTCTATTATAGACGACTACCCTTTATTATATTACTGTACTAATATTGATACTGTATTGATGATTAAAACGTTTACTGGTTCCCACATTCGCAGTTGTAAATCATATTACAAATTCACGCATTAAACAATTGGAATTATACTATTGGAGGGAAGAAAAAGCACATAATAATCGAGCAATATGTACAAAAAAGAAGTTAGACATCTTTTTTCGGCAACGAATACTTATAAACGTATCATCGTTTCCTAGCATATAGTTGCAGAATTGTTAGTGATGTTTTGATATATTAAGTTAATTTCATTATTATCGATAATTTATTTTCATTATTTGAGTAATTACTATTATACAGTAACTATTGTACTACTTATTCTCTTGTTTAAGTAAATTTCGCGCAATATTTCCCACAGAATGTTCAATGCACGCCATGGCTCGTACGTTGACAAAAGCTATTGATAATCGTTAAATAATTTAATACCGGTGAAGTTTAATAAGTTGTGGAATATATTGGTACAACTCGATGAAGAAAGTGTAGCGTGGTTATACACCTGAGGAATGTGCTCAAAATATTGTATTAAAGAGAAAAAAGTCTACTAAATGATCATCAACGTTTATGCAAAATTACTCTTAATAAGTGAAAAAAGTTATTACGGATTATTAATATCGTAATCTATCGTCCTCTTACCTATTACCTACTTTAATGTCTATCTCTATACACCAGCATGGTTCTTTATACTCTTCTATTTGATGTTATACTATTCTCTATTAACTTTTACTACAGAACGTATTGTTAATAGTGTTTTTAATGTACTAGAACATGGTCAGCTGTAGAAGAGCCACGCAAGTGTCACATCGAGATTTATATGAGAACAGATATTACGATTAAAAAGATAATGGGGATGCGTTTATGTCGCGAAGTAACGCGAGTTCTGACAATTATATGCAATTGCATAAACTTACGACTTTAAATTTTCCGTATCGTATTAATAAACAAAGTTTATTAATTTGTAAATATTAATCTCTCCACGTAAATCCCTTAAAATGTGTATCTAAGAGACTCATTTCTATTATTATACTCAGATATATAATTTAACGGTCAGATTGTTATAGATTAGTTTATATGCGAATTAAAATTAAACGGGACGAGTAAAAGTCATCCAGATGTTCACACAACACACTTCTCTTGCTCGTATAAATTATCGCAATAATTTTAATAGAATGAAAGAGAAGAGCGCGTGCTCGGTAGCAATATATTCAAGTGGCGCGTTTGTACTGTCGTTGTTTTCCCATCTCTCTCTGCTCAACTAGATATTACCTATAAATATACCTATACATTAGAATCCACGTTATCTTAGCTACTTGAAAACCTAATCACTTAATCAGATTCTTGTCTTGCTCAAAGAGACGCGGGCTCGGACGAAGCAACACACAATTATCTCTCGTATCCGGACTGTGTAATAAAATCGCTCAAAAGTTGGTGCCATAAGCAATATGGACAATATATTATTAAATGTGTTATAGTTACGCGCGTGGACTAACTACAGCTGGCCGGCTAAGTTCTGCTTTAAAAAAAAGCTCGATAACGAAACGCTTTGCGGTTGTCTTCTGCGAGTGATTGCGAGAGTTCTCAATATCATTCGCTTTCGATCGGCGATGCTTTATCGTAAAATTGCGTTTATAAAATATTCCGAAGTTGTCTACGCACAATAAACTTTGATGTTATCTTTAATTTAGACATAAAACTGATTTTTGCGATCAATTATATTGCGATTCGCGTAAGATTTTATCTCACGTAAAAACTCTCATTTCTTCAGAGAGTTTTTCTACCGTAAGGTGCTCTCGCAATTGTCTCTTGGCGGAAAATTGCAATGCGTTGTTTACATAATTAAGCACAGTTCAGTCAATTTCAAGTGCGATGTGGTATCGAGTTGCCGATAAAAGCCTAATTTAATCTGGAGCCTATCAAAGTGATATCACTTAATAACGAAGCGAGAGATAGAGAGAAAGACAGGTCCGTTGACGAAGAGGAAAACCCCAAAGGAGGCCTCCAGAACCCCTTACGAAGAAGCAACTCCGCCACATTAGTCTTCGTCGACGAAGAAACGGCACAAACGGCGCGGCGGATTATCTGCGAATGCGAGGAATTCGAGAATTCTCTCTTGCGTAAGCCTACGAAGGAAGATGCGCGCGAAATGTTAATGAAAATCACACAGAGAATTTATATCGTTATAGGTCTCTCCGCCAGTCAACTTTCATTATTGCCGCGAATTTGGCTATCTTGTATAATCGACGACTTCCGATCTGTCGGTTCGTTTAATCTAATAGATTTACTGATTCATAATCTAAGTGAGCTCAAATTTCAATAAATATTTATTTCTTCGACGAGCAACATAACTTCAGTGTATGTGGAATGTGAAAAATTCGAGAGAGAGCGAATTTCTTGAGAGTACTATTCAATTATTTCTATGAAATAATTGCGCGACGTAGAATTTTCGATTCCTCTTTGTCCAGGTAGGGGCCGCGTTCGCGAGTAGTCTGGCGAAGCGTTAAACAGAGGTGCGAGATAAGCGAGAAAACGGGCTCGAGTTATCGGGAGTTAAAGTCCGATTGTATTAGGAGCTAATTGCAAATCGAACGGCTTAGCCAGGTCAACGAGCGTCTGCGCATCAGTATTACGTTGAAGCGATATACTTGTATACATTAAACTAGTGATTACATTGCGCATACATATATACATACCATTTTATTTAATATATACATATATATATATATATTGAATATATGGAGAAGAGGCGATATTACTATTATACACATACATGCATATTAACTCAGATGGTAGCGTACGCGCATGTATGTGTCGCTGCGTACATACATATACGTACGCTCAATATATATTTATATATATATACAAAACTGAGTATGTGTGATGTACAGAGAGTCAGAGGGGCCGAACGGCCCGTACTTGCTGCGTTAAATGTCGATGTTGTTCGTTAAAAAAAAAAGAGAAAAAATACGGAAACCCCACGGCTTCTCTTGAATCGTGAGTGACGGGACTTCGGTATACAGATCAGCGGCAACTACGGAGAGAGAGAGAAAGAGAGAACACAGCCGAATACACAATCACAATATCAAAACAAAAGAAAAAGAAACGAGAAACCTGCGGTTTACTAACTCGCGATCCAGTTTTCGAGAGTACGCGCGAATGGGGAAAAAACGAAACCAAGAAATTATTTCACGCGAAACGCATCGAGGAGCAACCACTGACCGATTTACGCCACAGTCGTTGTCGATGGACAGCGTAATCAAAGAGGAAACGAGAAACGAGAATCAAAGGGAATGCTAAAAAAAAACGTTCTGCGTAGATCGACGATACATGTTAACGTATATAGACGTATATAAGCTTTTCGGCCGCTCGGATCGTCACAGGTCGGCCTGTCCAGCGATCCGTGTTAGAAAACGAGAAAATAAGGCGCAAGAGGAAATACCGAAAATCCTGCCTCACGACAGCATGAGCATTAAGTGTACCATTAAACTCTACTACTACGATGGGATAGGAAAGCGAAAATGTACGCGTGCACGAGTTGGTCCGCATGTGTTTTGCGCGCGTGTATAT